GGCGCGGGCGGGCGCGGTCCCGAGCCGCGCCGGGGAGCCCTTCCTCCGGGCCCGGCGCGGGAGGCGCCGCCTCGCCGTGCGAATGAATGGCGCATTTGCAGAGCTGTCCCTCGCGCGCCCGTTCTGAAAGCGGGTCCTGGGCACCCGCGTGCCCTCGTCAGTGCGTGCAGCGTGGCGTTTTCTCCCGCGGCCTCTGCGAGGGTGGGTGTCCAGCCAGCGATCGATTCCCTCTAATTCCTGGAGCAGCATTGCTTTAATTTTGCAAGTGCACATTTGCAGCGGCAGCGTCTCCATTGAAGTAGGTCCATGGAATCCTTGCTCCGAATGGGACCCGAGTCAGCCCAGGCCCCACGTCGCAGCAGAGAGGAAAGAAGTCTGGACCAGGCATCCAGAGACCTGACTGTGCGACCTCGCTCTGTGACCTTGAGCAAGTCACCTAAGCTCACTGGTTCGGTGTCCTCACCTGTAAATACAGTTAATTATACCTGCCTTGCATCCCCTTACAAGCCAGTGTGACAGTCAGACTTAATAATAGTTGTGAAAGCTTTTTGTGACTCTTGTATTTCTCTATAAATAGGAGGCATATGATTAGTTTCTTCAACCATGAAATGAGGAACTTGCATGTCAAAATCTCTGGAGACCTCTTTTTTTCTAGCCCTAAATTTGAGAATTGCATGGTTGGAATTTCTCCCTAAACCTGGTGATTTCTTTTTAGGTATTATAGCTCTCTGACATATGTGTGAATGAGTGTTGCACAAATCTGAATTAATCTAGCCTTTCTAATGAATGGGTACATAGTAGGAACACCTGAGTTACAGTATTTCCATGTGAAGACGTGTTAGCCTGTAAACACTGAGTAGTTCCTTTGTGTAGTGTGCCCCTTCCTAGTGCATATTGGAGCTGCTAATAGTAGGCCGTTCATTGATGTTTGCTAACATAATAAATTGTTGGATCTTAGATCTGTTCCCTACTCCCCAGATAATTTGTGAGAAAAAAAAAAATCAGACAGGGTGTGGTGGTACATGCCTGTAATTTCAGCACTGGGGAGGCTGAGGCAGGAGGATTGCTCAGAGTTCAAGGCCAGCCTGCCTTACATAGTGAGCTGAAGTTCCAGCCTGGATTCAGAGTCCCTGTTTTAAAAAAAAAAAAAAAAAAAAAAAATTCCCAGGCTGGACTCAGACTACTGGGGTGAGGAGCTGGGTGTGGCAGCACATATCTATAATCTCAGTATTCTGGAGGCTGAGGAGGGGGATTGTTGTGAGTTTGAGGTCACCCTGGACTACGTGGTGAGATCCTGTCTTAAAAAACCAAAATTGCTCATGTTATTGATCCTCTTTGAATCTGCAAGGACACACATCACCTGCTTTTATCTCAGCAACAGGCAGCCAGCTGGCCCGGTGATTGTTAACAGGAGTTAGGGAAGGTGTCAGGACTCTCCAGCAGGCTGGGTGGTTCTAGAGACCAAAACTGGGCTAGTGATTCTTAAGGCAGAAGAAAGTCATCAGTAAACACAAGGATGTGTCCCTTGCCAGGGGCGTACAGGGAAGGAAGTTCTAGGGTAGATGACAAGGAAAGAGGTATTAGTGACGTGCCACAGTTATGGCATTAAACATTGTAGTTAAATCTGAGAAGTGCCCTGTTGAGGCATATTCAGAGCCTAAAGGCAGATTTTGATGTGTAATACATGTCGACTCCTATTACATGAAGGACAGGAGACTGCCCAGTTTCTTCTAGTTCTCTCTCCTTTTGGTGTACCTTAGAATAATGGTCTTACCCCAGAAATTTAGTGGGATTTCCATTTTATAAATTTTTCCAATAATGTAAATATTTTAAGAGCAGTAGTTAGGTTTCTGGGTTACAACATTTCTGTGAATTAACATTTTGGTTAATATATATATATATATATATATATATATATATATATATATATATATTTAGCAGTGTTGGGGATTTGTTGAATTTTTAAAGTTATAGCATTATTGAGATAGTCATATACTATAAATTCATCAGTTTAAACTACTGTATGTGATTCAGTGGTTTCAGTATATTAGCAAAAGTGGCATGTTGATTCTGTTTTAGGCACACTTACCTATAGACGGGAAGGCAGCTGTGATAGCGTTTTGCTTCTGATTTTGAAAATATTCGTGAGTGTTGACTTGCCACTGACTGGCCATATCATCAGGTCACCCAGAGGTGCTTTCAGCAGCTGCAGAGGACCGAGTGTGGGGCGGGTTGTCAGCCCTGGGTGGGCCCCACAGCAGGTGGTGGTCTGTGTTGGTCCTGCTCACGGGAGGACTCCGGACCCCATGGATAGCACCACCGAGGCCACAGAGTGGCCAGGATCACCTGCAGCTGTTTAACTAGGGGTCCTTTTGCTAAGGATGTATGGAAACAGTCTAAAGCCCCAAATTCATGTTAACTTTGCTAGATAAAAACAGCTGTTTAAGCTAGCATTCTGGGTTTTGTAACCTTCTTTTCCCATTATACTTTCTTAAACTACTGAAGCCTTGTCCTAGATTTTTTCCCAGCATAGTTCCAGTTTTATATTCTATGCTATTGTCCCTTTAAGCTATCATTTCTGGAAATTCTAATAGTCTTGTGTTGAAACTTTATTATCTCTGATTGTGCACTGTGATTTGGCATTTGGCATGCAGGTTCTTTGTTCTCATCTGTGTGTCCTCCTGATGTCCCCAGGCTTGGTAACACCGTGCTGGTCTGCTGGTTCCTCAGCTTGGAAACCTCTGTGTCCTCTCATATTCAACTTCTTTACTGGTTCTAACTTCGCTTACATCCGTGGAATTTTTGGATTTTGAGTACCAGCCCTGTCCCTTGTGTTGAGATGTCCTGTCCCCATCTCTGTCCTGTCATAGTTACTGTGTATATGTTTACCTACGTGCTACTGCTGGTGGTCACTGAGTATCTGCTGAATGAGTGAATTAATACTTAAACAGTGGAGAAAATTTCAGCCCAGATTGAAAGTCAGGGCCTGGCGTGATTAGTCGGCTTAGAGGAATGAAGCAGGGTTTGAAGAAGTGGTTAAACAAGTAAACACAGATGAGGCATGCTGAACAGGACCAGTAATACACAGGAGGACTGGGAGCCAGGGATGCCAGGAGAGTGCTTTGGAGGGGTGAACAGTGAAGTTCTGGGAATCTAGGAAGTGTGCAAGAGGTGTGTGGAGGAAGGGGCCAGAGCTAGGTTTCCAGCTGGAGCTAGATAGGGGATGAGAAGGAGAGAAGATAAGACAGTGCCGATTCCTATCTCCTTAGGAATTTGTATTCACTCTGTACAGCTGGAAAGCCTCCCAGCACTACCCTAAACTGCTTGAGCAAAGCACAAAGCCTGTTATTTGTTCTTGAAATTCATTACCGTTTCTTAAGTGTGAAAGGTGTGTGTTGTCCAGTTCTTAAAGATTATAAAGACATTCTAAATCCAGTGACACTTGCTACTGTGAGGTAGTTTTAAATCTTCTTGGTGCTGTTAGCTTTTTTAAGCAAGAACAAATTGGAAGGTCTGAAATGAGAGCTCAGCGGTTTAACCACAGTGGCGCGTGGTTTCGCGGGGTGTGGAAACCACACCCGCGTCCAGCAGGCCTGCCTTCATTTCCCTTCTCACAGCACGAGTTCATTTAATTTTTCTGTTATCTATTTTGTAACAGGTTCCGCTTCTTTTCCCACCAGTCTTGAGAAAATTGAGGGCTACTGGACTTGGTGGAAGGAAGAATTGGACTTGGGTTTGTGCCCATTCCAAGCAATACAGTATTATTGAAGTTTAAATTTCTGGCTAATCTGTGGGATCAGGTCTCACCTTGTCTGAATGCTCTGGGGACAGTTTCACTTCTCTGCCCTTCTCTGTGGACAAGTCCTCCCTCCAAGGTCTTCTTAGATGTCTTTTCCTCACTTGTCAGCCTGGGCATCTATCTCCTGGCCCCATGTCTCATTGGCTTTATCGATGTGTAGTTCACACGTAGTAAAATTTACTCATCTTAATAGTGCAGTTTGATGAGCTTTGAAAAGGACAGTATTCTGCCATGTCACCTCCAGATATGAAATGCTGAGTATTCTCATGGAGCTGCTTGTCTTTTCCAGCAGGCTCAGAATTGACCGGAGCTGTACTTGCCGATTAGGGCAAATGAAACAGTTTTGGGTTTTTTTGTTTTTGTTTTTGTTTTTGTTTTTTGACGGAACCAGGGATTGAACCAGGTCTTTGCACTTGCCAGGCAAGCGCTTGTTCTACTGAGCCATCTCACCGGCCCCTGTTGGTTTGTTCTTAGTGCATATTAATTAGACAGAATAATAAGTTTCCTTGGGTGACATATCTGTATATACTTAATTTTCACACTCTATTACTCTACTTCCTCTTTCTTC